TCTCTGTCTGTCTGGTGAGCGCACACGCCCTATAGTGAAAACCTCTCCAAAATAAAAGAAGTAGTGCGTTGGGGTTCAAGTTCTCAGGGATGGGGCAGGCTTGGTTAAAAGGAGACTAAGGAGCTGCCCTGTGGCTTGGTGGTTAAGGGAGCCAGATCCCACCTGGCAACCACATGGTTCAAATCCTGGCCCAGCAGCTTGAACAACACCTGCCACATGTCCACGCACGTCATAGGTCCTGACAGGGTGGAGAGTGGGAGACGGCTGCAGTGTAACCACTGCAAGAGCAAATTTCTCTCTCTCTTGAGCACACACATGCCTACTAGAAAAAATTGTTTTAAAGAAAGGCAAAAAGGAGGCCAAAGATAAAGGCTTCAGCCTCTACCCCTCCCCTTACACCCACTGTCACTGGAGTAGTCTTGCTTCTACATATTTTGTATATCAAGATTCCCACGAAGATTTCATTTGGAGAAAATCTGAGGGAAAAATAGAAGTATAATAAAAGCTGAGAGCCAGTAATCCGGGGAGAGGGAACAGAGAACTAACATTAGCTCAAGAAGCTTATAATGCCTTCAATGTCCCCATGTGTAACTCAAAATAAAAATCAATATTAAGCTATAAAATACAAAATTCACACGTATATTGCAATAAAGATAATGTACTTCCCCACTTGCCTAATTGCAAAAGTCTCACACACCTCTGGTTTGCTGGGGCCACCGCACAGGCTCGGCCCTTTTCGGCTTGCTCCAGTGGGCAAGCCTGGATTCCCCCTCTCCTCAGTGCTCCTGGGAAGAAGGCATTGCCACGTCTATCTTCCGAGGAGGAAACGGGGGCTTCAGGAGCTAAAGTAACCTGCTGAAGGTCACAAGGCACATAGAGACAGGCAGAGGCTGCAAAACCCAGCGCTGCCTGACTCCAAATTCTGGGCTCGCTCCAAGACCCCTGGCTTCAATCAAATGTGGTCAAGATGAAGTTTTTAAGTAGGGATCAGTCACTTCGGGAAAAAGCTGCCTGACAGTACAGTGTCTGGCACGTGGCACGTGCTCAGTAGATAGTGCCCTCCATCCTTGCTCCCAGCCAGCGCCCTGCTTGACCTCAGGCTAATGGCGCTAGGTCGCCTGACCTGGGGTGGGGCCACTGTCCCGCTAGTGCACAGCTGCCTATGCAGCAGCCTCCCACCTGATCCCCCACTCCTCTCTTGCAGGTTGGTTCACTCCCTGAGCCAGGCCAGCCAGGCGCACTGCATGCACATTTGGCCCTGGTCTAGGGCACTCTAAGCAGAGCCAGCAGCATGGACTTCGTCATGAAACAGGCCCTCGGAGGTGAGACCTGCACCCCGCCCCTCCCAGTCCCCAAACCGGGTACCAGCAGGGCCAACAGGGCGGAGGGAGCCTCAGCCAGCATGGGTCCCCTCTCCCCAGCCCTGCCCTCCAGCTGACCCTACCCTCTGCCTCCCGACCTCATCCCTATAGGGGCCACCAAAGACATGGGGAAGATGCTGGGAGGAGAGGAGGAGAAGGACCCGGATGCCCAGAAGAAGGAGGAGGAGCGGCAGGAGGCGCTGCGGCAGCAGGAGGAGGAGCGCAAGGCCAAGCACGCGCGCATGGAGGCCGAGCGCGAGAAAGTCCGGCAGCAGATCCGAGACAAGGTCAGCGAGGAGGGCGGTGGGTGCGAGGGGGTGAGCCTGTCTGCGAAAACTCTTGTCTTGGGCTCCCTGAACCCCAGCTTTCACCTTGGACCTAGCTCCCTGCGAGGCTTGCTTCACCCATCAGGAAAGCAGGTGTCCCGGGGACAGCTCCCTCAAAGGCTGAAAGGAGATGAAGGTTAACAGTGGTGCACTAGCGCGGGCTGCAGGACATCTGCTCTGAAGCCTGACCTCTCACCCGAGACCTTGGAACCCCTGTGTGCAGATGCAGAAGTTGGAGGTGTGAGAAAAACACCCCAGTGCTCTGAGCTTGTGGCACCCTTGGGGTCCCTCCCAGTGGGCGGGGCTGCCATCCCATGCAGAGCAGCTCCCTGTGCCCCATCCCGTAGCACCATGCACGGCATCAGGGCTGTCCAAACCAGGTCAGTCACCAAAATCTAGCTCCAAATACATGGGCAAATCCTCAGTGTTAAGGTTTTGCAGCTGTCAGAGAAGGAAGTTACTTGGGACAGGTATTAACTGTAAAGGAAACCCCGGGCCTGTCTGTCTGTCGGCAAGCACTGGAGAGGATCCTGACCCCGGACAGATGAGGAGCTGAGGCTCGGGAAGTTCTTAGGAGCCCCCTCCGCCAGGTCTGTGAGACCCTGAGACCGGCTCTCCCTGCCCCCTGCCTCACTGGCTTTCTGCCCTCTCCCCAGTACGGGCTGAAGAAGAAGGAAGAGAAGGAGGCCGAGGAGAAGGCAGCCCTGGAGCAGCCCTGCGAGGGCAGCCTGACCCGGCCCAAGAAGGCCATCCCGGCGGGCTGCGGGGACGAGGAGGAGGAGGAGGAGGAGAGCATCCTGGACACGGTGCTCAAATACCTGCCCGGGCCGCTGCAGGACATGTTCAAGAAGTAACGCCCCAGGCCACTCCTTACTCTTTCTTTCTGTTCTTTCTTTTCTTTTTATTCAGTTGTCTCAGTTCTGAAGGGGAAAACCTCAGTTGGCCTCTGCCCCCATTCCCTGGCCAGGGGCTCCTCCCCTCAGCAATCCCTCCCACCCCCCCTTCATCCCAGGGTATCCAGCCCCACCCCATTCTCAAGTAGTATGAAAGTCAGAAGCCGGCCCTTCCCCAGCAGGGGTGCTGAACCCCGGGCCAAAAGCCCTGGGACCCCTCAGGAAGCAAGCCTAAGGCCCATGCTAGTGTGGTGACCCTACATTCCTCCATGCTCCCCACTGCCAGGAGGACTGCTGTCCCCAGCCAGCCAAAGTAATGACACATTCCAGCCCTGCCCAGCATGTTGACCTTTGGCCTCTGCCCCCAGTGGGCCTCCAGGTCAGGGCAGGGGCACTGAGTGGCCTGGCTCTGAGGAAAGGAGTCAGGATAAGCCTGCCCCATGCGGGTCCAGCCTGGGAGGCCCTGAATCTGGCCAGGCTGGGGTCTGGGCAGGAGGCTGGCGCTCTTTTCCTCTCCCTGGTAACACCCAGCCCAGGAGCACCCCCTTCCCAACCCCAGCCAGAGAGGCATGGCCCCTGCCCAGCTGGTCCCTCCAAATGGATCCTTGTTGGACTTTAGCTCATCTGTGGAGGTGCCCATGGGTAGGGCAGCTTCTTCTTCCCCTACCCCACTTAGGTCCTGGGACCCCACTGCCAGTCTGGGCCCAGCTTGCCCAGCCAAGGGGCTGCCCAGGCCCCCACAAAACACTTGGAGCCATCGGGCAGTGATGGTCTGTGCCATGGGACCCCACCCATCGGTGTGGCCAAGCTGCCCCCATTCCTATCCACTCCTCCTCCCATCCTGTCCTGTCCATGTGCTTCCAGGGCCCCATGGTCCCCAGGAGGACCCTTCCTGGCCAAAGCCCCAAGCCTCTGGGAAGAAGCCAATTCCCACATGACAGAAGGTATCAGTCCATTCATCTCATTGGCCAAGAACAAACTCTCCTCTGGGACGTATGGAACTGGCATTTGTCATCCTTACCTACCCCCATCCAAAATTGTCAAGGTTTCCCACTCAACTATGTGAGAATGAGGTGGGGGGTATGGGAGGAGAAGGAGCAGATGGGGGAAGAAAGTGTCCATGCATGCATGACAGTGCATGGTGGAGACTGCATCAGTGATAAGATGTCCAGAGATTGTATGTATATGTATATGATTAGTGTGTGTGTGTGTGTTAGTCATCATCTCTCTGTGGGAGTCCCTGTGGTAGAAGTTGTGTATATTCTGCAGCCTGTGGATGTATGCTTGTTTCAGGGGGGCATTTGAGTTGAGATTGTATCACGTGTGTGTGCTAGACATCTCCCATGTGTTTAGAGACTGTACATATTAGCGTGTGTATGCAAGTGTTTCAAATGGTGTGTGGTTCAGGAGTGATGCATGTGTGTTAAGTGCTGTAGAAGTGTCCATTTGTTTTGAGAGAATTTTCAGATGTGCTAAGGCAGTTGTGTGCACATGTGTGGGTCTGAAAAGGTAGTTGTGTGCGTGCATGTGTGCTTGGAGAGAAACGACGTGGGTAAGACGCCCCTCCCAGCCTCGAGACCATTAGTCACAGGTGGCACATCTGACAGGAGACCTTGTCCTTGGCCTAGAGTCCTCCCACCCTTGGGGGTTACCTGCCTGAGGTCCTCAGCATTTGACTGGGACAGACCCAGGCAGTACCCCAGGAAGCCATGCTGGCCCCACACCAGGGCCCATCCCAAGAGCCGGGGCCACGGAGGGGGCGACTTGCCTGCTCCTGAAGCCCCTGCCCACTGGCCCCAGTTTGCATTCTGCGGGTTTTCCATTTTAGTGGATTTATGCTTTTATTTCGGAGACAGACATGTGTCTTCTCTGTCCGTTTCCAATAGTTAAAGCCATATCAGTTAGACTGCAATACTTTAAAGATGAGACAAAACAATCCATATGTTTAGGGAACCAGAAAAGTCCCTTGGTCTGTCCCTTCCCTGGGAAGCAAGGCCTCAACAGCCTCAGCTCCCTAGACTTACCCTCCTCCCCTGCCCCGTCCATTCCCCTGTGCCCATGTCTGCCCCCCAGGGGGCCCGTGTCTGTCTGTGCCTGTGTCTGTGATGGGGAGCTACCTTGCATCCCTGTTGTCTGCTTGTCTGTTTGTGTCTGTTGTCCTGGGCAGGATGGTCATTCTCAAGAGCCCTGGAGTCCTGAACCAGAGAGAGTCAGGGCCCAGTTCAGGGCCCCGGGCCCTGTGTGTAAGCCCCACTTGGACAAGGGGTGAACACCATATGCTCAGAGAGGTCTCCCTCTTGACAGGGGCCCTCAGACCTCAGTGATAATGCCAGGGCACAGACAGTGCCAGATGGGTGGCAATGACAAGGCCCAAGGAGCTTCAGATGAGCAAGGAAATCAGCCATGAAATATCCCAGGTGGGCTTGAGGAACCCAGGCCCTCAAGGGTGTGCCTGCTGGTCTCTGTAGCCCCTCCTGACCCCCAGAGTAAGCCCAAAGCTTTTCAGTCCCTCCAGGCTGACTGGCTTAGTCTAGGGGCATGACCCAGACTCCTCCATTCTGCTCCTGGGCAGCAGAACTAAGGTCTTCCTGGAGGAGGGGCCAGGAAGAGAATCTCTGCCTGGATTCAATCACTGCAGAGTGATCACTCTCAGGTCCAAAGGGACACAATGACTCATCTCTGACACAGACCTGTGGCGAAGATGGCGTGTGGCCCAGAGAGGGTGTCTCTGTGCAACAGAGGGCGGGAGCAGCAGGGAAGGGCTGCTCACATCCCCACTTGGAGCATAAGGCATGAGACCCCCCAGATGGGAGAAGGAGGGGTGTTTCACACACAAATGGGGCACTGTGCATGTGACACACTTAGGGAGGAGAAGACCCAGAAGTCAGTGTACACACACCCAAGGACAAGACCCTCAGCCCGGAGCATAGTGAGGAGCAATCTCGTGAGCGCAGGGGCAAACAGCGAGATGCAAGGAGCGTGCACCTGCCGCCGTGGGCCGCCTGGCCTCCTGTGCCTGGGAGTCACCACAAAACAGCAGGAAAAGGGCTTCTCTGGATCTCCCTGTGCTGGGCACGGGCGATGCCAGGCTTTCCACCCACGAATGACCTCCACTCCAGGTCCAAGCTCCCGAAAGGGAACTGTAACCGCACACACATGTGGTGGTCCTCCTTCAAACGGAAACAGGAAGTCAAGATGCCCTCCCAGGTGCATGAGAGCGGGAGAAGGCAGCAGAGAGGGAAAGGGAAGCAGGTATTGAGGCTGGGCCCTCTCGGGTGGGACAGCTGGTGGGAAAACAGCCCAAAGGCTCGTGGCTAGAATAAAATGGGGTGCACTCCCCAGCACCGAGCACCCCTGGTGCAGCTGGCAGCGCTGCCCACCCCCACTGGCCAACTGCTCCATCCTTCCAGGGTTCCCCAGGCTCCTGCCTGCACCGGGGGCTGGGGGTTAGACTAACTCAGATAAGGGACATCTCCCAGGCCCCAGGACAAGCCTCCCACCAAACGCCCCCTGCTCCAGTCCCCACTTCTATTGCCCTACGCTCTTCACTGGAGAAAGAACGGGAGGTGTTTGTGGGCCCTGGGGTGGACAGGGGAGGCCCAACGAGACCTGGGTGAGACGGACCATCCTGCTTGCACAGGGGAACCCCTCTCCACATCTGTGCTGTGTTCTTGTTGCTCTGCTTCCTTAAATGTGTCAGTGCCTGGGGGAGGGGAGGAGCACCCCTCCGCCCCCCCGAACCTGACCAAAAGCCATGGCTGTTGCTCCCCCTTTGTATGACGCAAACGCTAAGATGTACAAACCAATCATGACAACAGAGAAAAAGACCTTGTACAGCCGTTCTCAGTCTGCCTGTTCTCTTCTGTCCGCCGGCACCACCAGGGCTAGAGAGGTGAGGGGACACAGACAGACTTCAGTGATCCCCTGGCTTTTGGCCACGACAATGTGGAGATGACTCCAGAAATCAACCAAACCCAGAGTTGGGGCTGACCCTAGAACTCGACCACTCCGCCTCCCTGCCCTCCAGTGCCAACTTCACAACCCCAAGGGGTGGGTGGTCCAGGTGGGTCCCCACCCCATCTCTGTCCACCTTCCTGCAAGTCCTCAGAGTGTCAAAACCTGAAAATACCAAGTCACTTGATGGGCAAAGGCATCATTCACTCCACACACTGACAGAGCACCTTGAGCTGCATGCAGGAGCTGGGCATACCCACCAAACCCGGGCCTGTCGGGGAGTCAGCGTCAGGCCAGGACCCTCTCCCCTCACCTTTTCCCTACTTTTTTTAGAGGGTGTCTCTGTGCAACAGAGGGCGGGAGCAGCAGGGAAGGGCTGCTCACATCCCCACTTGGAGCATAAGGCATGAGACCCCCCAGATGGGAGAAGGAGGGGTGTTTCACACACAAATGGGGCACTGTGCATGTGACACACTTAGGGAGGAGAAGACCCAGAAGTCAGTGTACACACACCCAAGGACAAGACCCTCAGCCCGGAGCATAGTGAGGAGCAATCTCGTGAGCGCAGGGGCAAACAGCGAGATGCAAGGAGCGTGCACCTGCCGCCGTGGGCCGCCTGGCCTCCTGTGCCTGGGAGTCACCACAAAACAGCAGGAAAAGGGCTTCTCTGGATCTCCCTGTGCTGGGCACGGGCGATGCCAGGCTTTCCACCCACGAATGACCTCCACTCCAGGTCCAAGCTCCCGAAAGGGAACTGTAACCGCACACACATGTGGTGGTCCTCCTTCAAACGGAAACAGGAAGTCAAGATGCCCTCCCAGGTGCATGAGAGCGGGAGAAGGCAGCAGAGAGGGAAAGGGAAGCAGGTATTGAGGCTGGGCCCTCTCGGGTGGGACAGCTGGTGGGAAAACAGCCCAAAGGCTCGTGGCTAGAATAAAATGGGGTGCACTCCCCAGCACCGAGCACCCCTGGTGCAGCTGGCAGCGCTGCCCACCCCCACTGGCCAACTGCTCCATCCTTCCAGGGTTCCCCAGGCTCCTGCCTGCACCGGGGGCTGGGGGTTAGACTAACTCAGATAAGGGACATCTCCCAGGCCCCAGGACAAGCCTCCCACCAAACGCCCCCTGCTCCAGTCCCCACTTCTATTGCCCTACGCTCTTCACTGGAGAAAGAACGGGAGGTGTTTGTGGGCCCTGGGGTGGACAGGGGAGGCCCAACGAGACCTGGGTGAGACGGACCATCCTGCTTGCACAGGGGAACCCCTCTCCACATCTGTGCTGTGTTCTTGTTGCTCTGCTTCCTGTGTCGTGTCAGTGCCTGGGGGAGGGGAGGAGCACCCCTCCGCCCCCCCGAACCTGACCAAAAGCCTGTTGCTCCCCCTTTGTATGACGCAAACGCTAAGATGTACAAACCAATCATGACAACAGAGAAAAAGACCTTGTACAGCCGTTCTCAGTCTGCCTGTTCTCTTCTGTCCGCCGGCACCACCAGGGCTAGAGAGGTGAGGGGACACAGACAGACTTCAGTGATCCCCTGGCTTTTGGCCACGACAATGTGGAGATGACTCCAGAAATCAACCAAACCCAGAGTTGGGGCTGACCCTAGAACTCGACCACTCCGCCTCCCTGCCCTCCAGTGCCAACTTCACAACCCCAAGGGGTGGGTGGTCCAGGTGGGTCCCCACCCCATCTCTGTCCACCTTCCTGCAAGTCCTCAGAGTGTCAAAACCTGAAAATACCAAGTCACTTGATGGGCAAAGGCATCATTCACTCCACACACTGACAGAGCACCTTGAGCTGCATGCAGGAGCTGGGCATACCCACCCCTGCCTTAAATTAGGCCCTACTGCCCTCTGCTTGGCTGTGCACTTCTCACTGCCACAGAGACTCCCACACACGGGTACCACTTCCACCCTGCGCCCAGACCCACCCCGCTGAGAAGGCTCAGCTCCCTGCAGGCTGCACCATGGCACTCCCTGGCTCACACCCTGCAGTGCCCGTGTAACAGCAGCTGCCTGCTGATCACATCCGGATTGCCAAGATGGCACGGCCCCACCTGCCAGGTCAGACTCACATCCATCTCCACACTCCCTGTGCCCCAGCCCCCACACATACCATGCCATTCCCTCTGCTTGCAATGAATTACATCCTCCCCCTTAAACATCTCAAGATTCAGCTCAAATGTCACCTACTCTGTGAGGCCCACCTTGATAGACTCCTGTCCCCCCGCCCCCCTATTAGAACAGCCTCTGTTACTGACCATAATGACAAGTAAGCAGACAGTGGTGGGTGTGCCCACCGGCTGTCACCCAGCAGAGTGATCTGAGCAGGCCACTTAACCCCTCTGAGGGTTTGATGACAGTCGCTCTGACCTCTGTGGTCATCGGGAGGAGTAAAGGGGCCCTCGCACTCCGCTCTGCACACCAAGCACTCGGTGGATGGCTCTTATTCTGTCACAAGTGCTGCCCCGCGCACGTCTCCCTCCCTGATCTGAGGTCTCTGAAAGGGCAGGGCCAGCTCGTACCCTGACCCTCACTGGCCCCAGCACAGGGCCTGGTGCTCAGTGGCTCCTGGGAACGCTGAGGCTGACTCGGGCCAGGAGGTCCATCTCCACACGCCCTCTGGGAGGCACAGCCCCTCTCTGTAAGCACTTTGCACTTCCTTTGCTCCTTGCCACTGGGCCCTGCCAATGAGGCAGCTCATGTATGGCATCTTGCTTCATGAAACTGTGCGGGCCAAGAGGTGACAGTCTGCTAGCAAGATGGAAGCCACACAGGTAAGTAACCTAATTGTGGAGGTGATAGCCCATCCCCTTTGCCATATTTTATTGGTGAAAAGTGAGTCACAGGACCCGCCCATATTTACAGGGAGAAGATCATGCCAGGGTGTGAATAACAGATTGGGGACCATTGGAGGGATCTTAGAGGCTGGCTGTTCACGGAGAGGCTGAAACAAAACTCCCCCTTTCTCTGCAAAGGGAAAGCAGAGTAGCCCGAGCCCCAGACTTTTAGCCACAGGTCCCAGCTGGCGAAGGAGGTATTTCTGAACAGGGCAGCAGCCAACGGTGGGCCGCCTAGAGCTTCCACAAGACTTAGTCATTCCCAGAGCCACAGCAGGCTCAGCGGGTCTTCCAAGAGCTGAGGGGACTAGAGAGAAAGAGAGGGGAGGGCTTTGTACTTCCCTAGGCACCTGTCTCTGTGCTCCACCCAACACCCTGGGCACTAGCCTCCCAGGACCCAGGTTCCTTCTCTGTGAACGACCCAAGGACACTTGGCTGCTCCTCCTCAGCTGCTCTCTCCTCTTCCTACTTAGTGAATTCCAAAGTGCCCCGTGCTCTTGTCAGTAAACACCAGCATCCTCTCATTTTTAGACCTAAAGGTCTTCTCCTGAGAGTCTAGTTTATCAGTTAAATAAGTACTTACTGAGCTCCCACCATGTGCTAGGCCCCAAGAATACCAATCACATGGCCACTTCCATCTGAGAATCGATTTGCTAATGGAGAAGGCGAATGGATAAACAGACTAATTCCCCCAACAGCATGTGAGTGATACAGGTATATCTGGGTACTTGGTGAAGGTCCCCTGGTGGAGCTGGCATCTGAGATGAGTCACAAATGAGGAAGAAAAGGTGGGCACTCTAGACAGAAGGATGGCATGGGCGAAGGCACAGAGGAGATAAAAGTAGCCAACCTGGGGGATGAGAGAGGGGGAAGGAGAAGCAGGGGACAGCTACAGGATCACCGAGCTCTTGGCGAGAGACTGAGGGGCTGAGGACGTCAACCAGCGAATCAGGCTATGGAGCTTGGGGTCTACCTGCAGGCACTGGGGAGCCCCCAAAAGGGTACCGAGCAGAGATGTGCAGCCGGATGCCAGCCGAGTGGTGAGGACACGGGGCCAGGGGTGAGAGGTGGAGAGCTGGGAGCCCAGGGAGGGGCCAGCACATGTCAGGGTGGGACACACCCAAGGCCTGACCTCCAGCAGTGGTTAAGGGCTGGATAAATAGGCCTATTGGAGGGCTGCACAGGAGGGCAAACTGGAGGGCTTGGGGGCTGAAAGTGGGGGCCACGTGGAAGGAGAGATCTAGGACAATGCCTGTGTCTCCGCAGAGCTGCTGCCATTTCCCAAGGTCTGGAAATTGGATGGAGACAGATTAGAGGACGATCATGAGTGTGGCCTGGGGCCTGGGCCTGGGGCGCCGGACGAGAGTGGGCAGGCGGCCTGCACTCCATGCCAGTTCCCCCAGACGCAGCACAGACAGTGCTCCGCGGGGCTAACTCCAATGGAGCGATGTCTTGGCCGCCGACCTCACTTCAGGCCAAAGCACAGGAAAAGAAACCTGGAGTGGGACGGGTATTGGAAGTCAAAGCCACCCTCCCACGCGCCCCAGCCCCTCCTGTGCCGCCTGCGGTGCCCCTTCCTCCGGAACTGAGAGCTGCCAGGAGGCAGGGGGTTAACGAGGCCTCCTCCAGCACCTCTTTAACTGACTGCAGAACCCTGCTTCTAGACGCTCACTTAGCACTGGTAATTAATTGGGGCTGCTTGCCTGATCTGAGAGATGATTTGCTACCCCCTGAGGACAATGTTTCCTCAGCTGGGATCCTTCAGCTGGAGCGGCTCTGCATACCCTGCCTGGCCTCCGACTTGGGCATGAAGCAGTCTCCAGCTCTTCCTCTCCGTGTGAGCTCAGACAGGGCACGCCCCAGCCCTGAGCACAGAGCCTGCGTGTGCCACCGTCTCGATGGGTAGGGTTGGAGCTGGTGTCACCATCTCCTAGCACTACAGACCTGGGCCACCCTCCCTACCCTGTGGCAGGCAGGAGTCTGCCACTGTCAGGCGCATCCACTCCCTGCTGCTCTCATTGAGACACCAAGAGACGGACTACTTCGTGAA